AGCGGTCCGGCGCCGGCCTGTGCCGGGCGTTCGTGGCTGGGGCTTCTCTCGGCTTGCTCCGTCTCGCCGTCGGGAGGGAAAAGCAATCGCAATTTATCTGTTGTTCAGCTGCGCCCTTTCTGTGGGCGATGGGCTTTTTGTGTTGGTATCCCTTCTGTAATGTTAGAGCCCTTTATTTGCCACTATCTTTGTTTAGGATAAATCCTATTATTTTTATAAAGAGACGTTACTTGTGGCTATTAACTGATAGGAGGGATGCTAATAGGAGTTTTCTGATCTTGTTACTTTCATACGAGGGAAATTAATACAGTGCCTTATGGATAAACATGAGGTATTTGGGGGTATAGCTGAGTCGTTTGCCTTGCCTTCATCTGAAAAATGTTGAATGTCCAGCAAAAAGGAATTTTGATCAGGAACAAAAGTTGTAAAATTCTGGCCCTGTTAAATTCAGTAGGAATTTTGCTACCGACTTCAATGGGGTCAGGATTTCACCAATGTTATTCGCAAAACCGCCTAAGGGAAGGAAATGTGGAAGTAGTCAAAGAGCCCTTTTCTCAGTCGTCTTTTCTGATGTTGTAGTTAAGAGATCAGATTGTTTGTTTAAAATACTTCAGCAGGAGTGACCTATTGAGACGGAGCATCGTCTTTCAAAGGACGTTGTAGGGCAAAAAGAAAGGGTCGGGGAGGAATGGGGATACTGGTTATATAAATAGGGTTGTGTATCGAAAACACTCGAGTTGGAGCTGGGTTAGATACACAATCCTCGAGGCAGTTGTGTTTTACAGCCTGCTGTGGCACGCTGCCGTTTGTCCGGGGCCGGGCTTCATGCAGGTAACGCCGATGCCTTCCGTCCTGGGAGAAGAAAAAAAGAGTGGTGCCACTTCTGCCGGGCTGAGTGCTTGCAGTATTTCATGCAGTGTGCTTAATTAAATTATTCCAGTGTTAACCTACTCTGGGCTTTGCTTTTAAAATGGACGAACAGAGGAGGGGGTGGGGAAGAAAGCCTAAATGCTGAAGAGAGAGATTGCATTTCTCCCTAGTACGTCCGTAGGAAAGTCTTGCCTTTTATTTTAAGCTTGATGCTTTCGATGAAGTATCCAAGAAGACTGATTAGAAGCCATGCATAATGATAGCATGGAAATAAGAGATGTGTGGGGGTTAGATTGTGAAACAATGGAACTAAAATAAAACATTAAAATGATTATGTACTGTGTGAGATCTCATTTTAAGGTTTGGATAAAAATCCAGTTCTGGCAGCAGGCTACGTTACTCTTTTTTAGAATCTAGTTGGAAATGTATATATTTGTTTCCCTTTACTGGCTCCTAATGGAGATGTTACAGCAGCACTTGGTGGTGAAGCAAGCGCTCGGGCTGCTTCGAGCTGAGGAGGACTCCGTTCTCGAGAATTTTCTCTGCAGCCCTTAATTAGCCAGAAATGCCCTTTGTAACGAAACCCTCGTCCTTCCCTCCGCAGCTGAATCTGGTATCGAGCGTCACGCTTTCCAAGACCGCATCCGAGGCGTCTCCGCAGAGCTTACCTCATACTCCCACCACCCCGACTGCGCCCATCACTCCCGTCACGCAGGGACCGTCGGTCATCACTACCACGAGCATGCACAACGTCGGCCCCATCCGGAGGCGGTACTCGGATAAATACAACGTCCCCATTTCTTCAGGTAACGGGGTTCTGGTGGCGCAGCCCCTCTGGCGGGGGCGGCTTGCTGTTGCCCGCAGCCCGGCAGCGGCAGGCTGTGATGATAACAGAACAACTGCTCTTATTTAGCAGATATTGCCCAGAACCAAGAATTTTATAAGAACGCAGAAGTTAGACCACCATTCACGTATGCATCTTTAATTAGACAGGTAAGCTGAGCCACACACACGCGTTTGGATTAGGGAAAAAAAATCTCCCTATATGTGCACACTCTGGATTAAATAGATTTTCAAACCTTTGGTATGTAAGCGTGCTCAAATGCTCAAACCTTTACTATAAGGGTTTTTAGAACTGCAATATATAACATAATTGCTTTTGATTAAGTATTACAATACGATGTGATTATTAGGAAATTCATTTCACACAACAGTGAAAATGAGCCTGTTTAAAGATGGCAAGTCAATTATCACAAGCTACAGTAATCTCTGATCCCTAGAATTAATCTGAGCTCTAAATAATTACTGAGCTTTAATCAGCTAGTGAAATGTTTTGCATTTCTCTTTGATTCTGCTTTATGAATGACTAATAAATTAATATTTCTGTAAGGAAACAGAAATAAAAACTCAAAACAATTAGATAATTCCATTTTGAATTTTGCCATTGAACTGTTAAATACAGCCATTAATCTTAGTTCATATTCTGAAAACCCTCCTTTGGATTTTTTGCTCCACATCTCTTCTTTCTTCCTTTCTTTCCTTTTTTTTGCGTTTGGTATAGTAAAAAACTGCGAGTGTGTTTTGTACTGGTGTGCTCCTAACTGATCTCGCAATTGCTTTGCTTCACAAGGCCATCCTCGAATCTCCAGAAAAACAGCTAACACTAAATGAAATCTACAACTGGTTCACGCGAATGTTTGCTTACTTCAGACGCAACGCAGCGACGTGGAAGGTAAGCCTGAGCCCGCCTCTGCCTCTTGCCTTTGATATCTGACATGTACAGAATAGACATTGCTGGTGACATAACAAATTGTAACGACATGTGGACATGAAAATTTAGATCGGCAGTTTTGACACGCACTGGGTGCCTTATCTGCAGGAACAATTTGATATTTGGCAGAAAAATTCTTCTGCCTTTGAAAACCACTAATTGAATCCCCATTATTGGCTTTTATGTTCTGTGATTATGCCACGAGTTCCTCTGTGTGGTTGCTGCTAGCAGTGAAACTCAAGCCCTTCAGCTGGAACGTATTAGGAAAAAAGAAAAAAAAGAGGTAAAGTTATTGTGTCAGTAGAAGATACACTGTTTGTCTTCCTAGTTATGCAGACTGTGATCACAACAACCGCTTTTTTTTTCCTAGGAGCTATAGATCAGTGGATTTCTTTCCTCAATCAATTGACTCTTAACTACATACACAGATCTGTTACAAACTTCCTCTTTTTTTTTTTTTTTTAATCACACAGCAGAAGCTGATTGAACATAATATGCAAGCAGCAAGCCCCACAATAAGAAATGTTTTTAACAGAAATCAACTTGTTATTTGGCACTTTAATTTCTTACCATACCCATCTCGGTTATTGTTAGATAAGAGGTCTGGGGAGTTAATTTTATTTTATATTGGGGGGGGGGAGGGGGCACTCCTTCCTTTATATATAACATTATAATAGCCACATTGGCTTCTGAAGCTACTGCAATTACAAATGAATGAATCAAATAACAGGGTCTTGTATCGCTGTAAAAATTGCACCCCTGGTACTTTGAGGCTCTCTTAATCGAGACAACTCTCTTGCTCTCAAACAACTTCAAATGACCAGGTAGGATGAATATGTCCCACACATGCTGTTTCATCAGCTTTTTCTGGTTTTCCTGTCTCAGCCTGCATTAGGATTAATTTCTTCAGAGAATGGAGCTAAAAATGGTCCTTGGAAGTTATCTTGGTTTTTAATAGCGTGTTTTGCTTTTCATTCCGATCCCAGCACGATTTTGTACATTTTCAGCCTTGGTCTAGAAGCTCTTAGGTTCAGGAAAAGTCTCTGTGATTGCTGCTTTGATTCTTCACTGCAGTTGGAAAACATGAGCAGTGTTTCACTTTGCAGCTTCCTTACTATCCAGAAAGGAAATTAACTTTCCCTGATTTAAGATCCTTTTAGACCTGCCTGTCTTTTGCTGCTGGAGTGGTTCCAGTAGGACTTTTCAGCAGCTGCAGGTGTGGGTGCTAAAGTAAAAATCCTATTTAATACCAGCAGCAAAGGGAAGGGAGGTGGAGGGCGGAGTGGAAGAAGGCAGCAGGCAGCCCTGGCCGTATCTCCTGCGGGGCTAGTTTTAGGAATTAGCTTTGTGCATCACGTAAAATCCAGTCCCAGAAGCCACGTGCACGTACAGTGTGCGTCTGCAGAGGAGGAGGAGAGAGGCTGAGCTGCAGACCCTCGGGCTTGCAGAAGGGCGAGGTGCGTCCCGGGCAGGCGGGTACCATTTGGAGACCCTTCCTGGCCACCTTGACCTTGTGCAGGTGTCCGAGTCCTGCTGCACTTGACAGGGAAGAAAAGCTTCACCCCAAGTTGCACCAGCGCTAGCAAAATTGGCAACTGCTTGAAGTAATGCAGGTTTTCCTGCTGAAGACTGCTCAGATTTATGCCAGACTTCAGGAACAGCAGGGATGAAAACGCAGCTCTGGATTGGCATGACGGGAAGCCCACGGGGCGCAGAACAAGCACAAGGGGCTAATTGCAGAATCAGAATAATTTGAATATATATGTGCTGATTTGCGCTCACCTTCAGCTAATGCTTAGGGGGCGTTTGGGTCAGTGTTGCCCAAGTTTAGGGTCAGGGTTTGGTGTGGGCAAGCTTCCCTGAGCTCTCTTTCGAAAACACAGAAGAGTGCAGGAATAAAGACCTTTAAAAAATGAACCTCTTTCCCAAAATGCAGTACAGCAGAGCCTGAGCAGTTATTAAAATAACAAACCCTTTCATTTACTACATTCAAGCATGTTCAGGGTAATTTTTCTGCAGAAGTGGCTTGCATACAAATATTTTTAACAAGGTAAATATATAATCTTACAATAATAGCTCCTAATTTTTCTGTTAAGCTGATTGCTGGGGGAGCACTGTGAACTGGTTCTGACAGGTCAGAGGCAATGTCTGTTTGCTTTTATTTTTTGGAGCAATTCGCTGGCACTGAGTCGCAGCCATGAGGCACAGGCTGCAGGTGTGGCTCCGAAACGTTGGGGTATTGTTCAAATGAAACTGTTAGATAGCAAGTATCCAGAGGCAGGGGAAATAAAATAATTTTTTTCTGCGATGAATTCCTTAAATAAGTGTTCATGTGGAAAATAGAAAGCGAGGGCAACACTTCATGGACGTCTTGCAAATACTCAACTTGTCTGTCTGAACGTATTCAGCAAGAGCCCGATCCAGCAGCCTTAACCATCGATTGCACATTGACTTTGAGAGAACAAGAACAGGCTGTAAAGTATTTCTCCGGCGTTAAATTTATTTAAAGAAGAACACAAATATTTCTGCTGAAACGTGTTATTTAGAGACTGTTTACAAACTCTGTGGACTCCCTTCTCTGAACTTTGCTGCATGCATTTGATCAACTCCTCTGTGAACTACAAGATCAGCTTTCACTGGGGGAAATGGCATTATTATTCTTACATTTTGCTCCAGACTTGACAGTGTTCCCGTTTTCACAGGAAACTGCCTGAGTTACCCAGATGTGGGCCAGCAGCCCTGTGTCGGGTTGCACTAGTGCGGCACCCACCAGCAGTTGCTGAGCTGGCTGATTGGAGACCGTAAGGTGTGGGGCGTTGGCATGTTTTTCCTCCACTTCAAAATCAGGGCTTTTGCCATAAATTTCCAAAGTCGTGAAATCTGGGAGAGGTGGGAGGGAAAAAGAAAATCATTAAAAAATAAGAACAGAAGAAAGCAAGGGCAGGAGGCGGCAGCCCTGATGGACAGGTTGAATTTCTGCTAAATTTCTGCCTTGCAGAGGGGAAAAGCATATTCAAGGTTTATTCTTCCACCGGTTCACGAGCAGATCAGTGCGGAAAAGCCAAAGTGCTGGGGATCAGACCCCTACAGCCGGAGGAGATGTGTTTGCATTCAGGCATCTGCTGAGCCAAGGCAGTTCAAGCCCCGAATTTTCCCCTCTACCAGGGACGGGAGCGCAGGGACTGCGCTAGTGATTGTAGAGAAATGGAAAAGTAGCAGAAGAGTCTTAGCCTTCCCCTCCCAGGCACACACACCGCTGCCTCTTAATTTGCATGACAAATGCACTGTGCGTACCCTTTGTTTGCACAGTGATTTAGACATTCATGATTAGAGCTCCCTTTCACCATCCAGACCCGATGTTCATTAGAAAAAAAAAAAAAAAAGAAGAGGAAGACGACGATGGAAGGAAAAAAAATTGTAGTCTCTTGGTTGCCTAGACCCAGGCCATGTGTTTGGCTGGCATTGTGCCTGCTAACGAGTCAACCAGATTGACTAAATCAATGGTGCCAGTGATGATGGATGGAGTTTGTTCGCCTGCATATTTTCAGCAAATGGCTTCTTCTGTTTTCCCTGTTTACCGAGCCCCTTTCAGCAGCACTGGGGACAAGCTCCATGTACGAACCCGAGTGGCTTTGTCGTAGGGTGTTTGCTCAGAAATGTCATAAAACGGGGAAGGAGCGTGGCACTCCGTTTGAGGAATAACAAGGCTCTCGGCACCGTTCCGGAGGGAGCAGGGAGAGAAAAGCCGCAGCTTGCCGTGACAAAGTGAGATGTCTCATGATGTCCGGCTTCAGCAAAGGTCCGAGCGCCTCGGAGGGGTTGGCCGAGCTCATCCTTCCCCGGCGCCGAGCTGCAGAGAGGACATCTGAGCATCGGGTGCCACGAGCGCGAGTCCCTCTGGGTGATGAGCTGTGGGGATATTATCACTTTGTTTCGGAGAGCCCTCCTCATGTTTTCACTTGGCAGAGGCTCAGATCATTCAGTACGGTAGTCTGCCAGAAATAGGAGCCAACTTCCATATAAGAGCAAGCCGTGGAGGCAGGAGTCGGTGCCGTGCCGGCTGGCGGGGTGCTGCTGAGCCCCCGGTCCATGCCGTAGGTGTGGATGGAGGTTCAGCACCTGATTCGCATTAGCCCAGCTGTGGGAAACCGCAGCAACACCAGCTCCAGTGCCTCTCTGCTAAACTGAGCCGTCTGTACTTGTGTGAAATCCTTTCTGCTCTTTCTAACCGCTTTCTTTTCCAGGAGAGGAGAAGTTTCTCTTTGCAGAGCGTGATTATTTGTTTTGAAAATGTCTAAGCAATGTTTTTCTTGTGTTCTGTATGAAATGTGCTGGATTATACAATGTGCATGCTTAAAATGATGGCTGTTGTCATTCACACTGGGGATAATGGATAAGAGTAACTTGAATTTCTAATCTTGGGTTTAAGCTTTTATATTTATTTTGTCTTTGCAAAAGTAAGATGTAAAGAGCCGGGGAAAGCAAGCGGGTGTGGGGAGGGGAAGGGGCTTAACATTGCAAAATGAGGACTGTCAAGCTGACTGTGCTGCTGTTCTTGGACGATGATGAGCATTTTCTCATAGAAAGTTTTTGAATGTTTTCTCTTTTATACTTGCTGCAGAATGCAGTGCGTCATAATCTTAGTCTTCACAAGTGTTTTGTGCGAGTAGAAAACGTTAAAGGGGCAGTATGGACAGTGGATGAACTAGAGTTCCAAAAACGAAGGCCACAAAAGATCAGTGGGTATGTCCACCATGTTTGAACTTCTTAGCCTAGCTTGGATCATGCTTACAGTTTAACGTAGAGGCTTTTGGCTGCTAGCTGGTGTTAGACCAACCACAGGTGGTTTCGCATTGTTTCAGTTAAGGGAAACCAAGACAAACATCTCATCACTACTGTTTGTATGCCCACCAGTACCCTGACCCTGCTTGCTTGGTGTTTGTTGCATCACATGCTAGTAGCTTTTAGGTGGCAATGCATATTAACCCTCACAAACCATTTGCTTATGCTTATTGCATTTTATTTTCTTTTTCCTTTTCCCTGTATTTGATGTCTGTTCTGTCCCCGATCCCGTGTCCCTTTGTTTCCACTTCATCTCCTTTGCTGCTGCTCTTGTCCCAGGGTGCCATTCGCACCAACCTCTCACTGCATAAGTGCTTTATCAGAGTAGAGGATGAGTTTGGGTCCTTTTGGACTGTTGATGATGAAGAGTTTAAACGTGGCCGTCATATTCAACGAGGCCGTCCTCGAAAATACTGCCCTGATGAAAACTTTGGCGAGCTTGTTGCACAGTAAGAGCTTTTACTTGCTTTAATTTTTTTTTTCTGCTGTTGCTTTGCTTTGCATGATTTACCCATCTCATGTAGACTTGCATTTCATGAAATAGTGACATCACCTTTGCTGCTAAAGAAACTGAATTTTTGGTTGTGATGTGTATTTTGTGTGTCCTACTCTGATAATCCAGATACCTGTAGTGATAACGCTACTTTGACATGTTTGTTATAGAGCTTGTTTATAGTGCAATGTAGACTAAAATAATTATCCAAGCTAGTGCAGATATGCTGCTGTAGACCTGGCAGGAAGGGACGTGTATGCCAGGAGAGGCTTCAGATAAAACAATTCTGATATTTTCCTTTGCTCTCAGTTGTATGCTTTGTTTTGCAACTCTTAATCAGAAATAGAGTGAGGTGCTTATAAGACAGAAATGCCGAATTAACTTTTAAAAGTTTGAAAGTGCAGCGAGACCAGCTGTAAAGATTATAATCAACAGGCCACCCTGTGTCTACAACAACCACGCACAAATATTCCTGGGGTTCCCAAAGCAATTTTCTTTGACCTTTACTTGAATGCCATCTCTCCAGGACAACTGATCCTTGCTGGTCCCTGTGGGAGGGGCTCAGTTAAGACTCTTCTCACCACGATTTATTCAACATGGAAAAAAAAAAAAACCAACACAAATGCCCAGTGAGTGAGAAAACTTTGGAGATTTTTTGCATTGGCACTTTTTATCTAGTTTGTGTTTGATTCTTCATTTTTTTTTTTTTCCCCCCTCCAGTGGAACCAGTGGTGTTTAGATGCCCACTAAAGAGAGAGGATATGCTTGGCATTCATTTTCCTCAAATCTGGCCTCTTATGTGAACTTAAGAGGACTAAAGTAACGGTCCGAAATAGCACACCGGAATATTTTTTACTAAAGCGGCCTTTGGGTCAGCGTGTTCTTCTGTGTGGTCGGTACCGCTTTGCTGCGGCGCGCCTGTACCTGCCGTTGTGCCTCCACGCCCCCAACCCCAGACTGTTGGGAGCGATGGTGGTCCCTCGCCGGGGCCACTCGCCGTTTGCCACGGCTCAAATCCCCCCTCATCCTGGTCCCCTGCTGCATTGCGAGGGACTCTGCTGCCAGCGACTTGGAGAATAATTTGCATGAAGCAGTATTTAAAATGTCCCGTGATGCTTTTGATCATAGCCTCCTCATGATGGACCTTTACATGGTAACTGGCTCCCAGACACGACGAGTATTGGAGAATTTCTCCTGAACACAGCTAAAATGTGCAGAGATGCCAAGATGTGCTACTAACGCAGGGTAGTAGAACACATGGCGAGGTAATGTCGAGAGATAATGATGTTCCTTATTTAGTAAAGGCAAATGTGATAACCGTAGCCTAAAATTCAGATATTTTCTTTACATTACCCAAAAAAAAAAAAAAAAGGAGAAATGAAAGAGAACTTGTGTGGAAAAACAGTCTCAGCTGTAGTTTTTCTGGTGCGGGAGGAAGCATTACATGCTTGAAATGCTCGCACAGAAGTTGGTTGCATTTAACTCTCCTTTTTATGTTTTTCTTATGCAGTAACCCTTCTCTTATTAAAAACATACAGACCAGCCACACCTACTGCACACCTCTCAATGCTGCTTTACAGGTAAGATTAATGACTGTAGCAAATATGCAACAGAGGCGTGTGTCTTCCCCACTCATTTCAAAATATATTAGCCTTGCTCTAATTAGATATTAAATTTTAATTCCGTTAAACTTTTTTCTTAAGTGCATAAAGCATCATAGTCCCTGGAGGCAAACACATATCAGGCTGCTTCAGCATTAGCTAGATGCTTAGCATTTTGAATATTGTGGCAAAAAAATTAAAAGTTCACTTATTAATATTTATCAGCAGTATCATAATTTCCATCCTCTTATTTCAGAATTTCACTTGAGGCAAAAATACCACAAGTGTAATTACTCTAGCACAGCTATTAATGTGCTGAATGATAGGATACTGCAGCACGTGACCTTCTATTGTTCGTGGGTTTAAAGAGAAAGCAGATCATTTTTCCCCCTTTTCTTTTAAGGGCTATTTTTGCATATCTTCCTATTGTTGGTAAAAAATAAATGTCGCAATTCCTATAGAAAAAAAAAAAAAGATTGTTTTTCTTGGTTCAAACTGTATCGTAGTTGTAAGACAAAAATTCTGGTATTTCACCACGTAGAAATGCACAAAGTGTTGGTGCACAATTAATAACTTGCAGCCTAAAAGTGTGCGCGTCTCCACCCCTTTTTCATGTGTTGTGTATCAGGTTGGCATTTCCCCCCCCGCCCTCTACAAATTCCTGAGTCTATCTGAAGAACCCCAGGTAAAGTCAGTAATTCCTATAGGAATCAAAGATCCGAGTGCATTGCCGTGCCCTGAATTTGCAGGGGGGTTGTGTTTGTGGGGGAAGGGAGTTCGAGCCCGTTCCATGTAGTGTGAATTAATCCAGGAGGCAGCACCCTGCGTGGTTGCACCCTGGTTGTTTGTTCTTGAGAAGTTCACTGATGGCCATGGCTATTTGTTTGGGCAACTGTGTTTTGTGGAAGGTATAGCAGCCTTCTCTTTTCAGAACCAAGAAACAGATTATTAGGAGAAAAGCGATGTTCTGCGTTTCTTCTAATTATTTGAGTTTATGCAGTAACTTCTGAAAAGCAAAGGAAATCACGTTTAAATGAAGCAACTGTAAATACCATTCATTAGTAACTTATTTTCCCTTGAGTCTTGTGAAGTGTGATTTTTAAAGACTGCTTTGTCTCTTGAATAGTATTAAGATTACAAGCACATTTTGCATTCATGAGGCTGAAAGGCAAAAATGAAATGATCCTGCATTTCTTCACATTGTTAACTATGTGACTAATTTCAATTAATATGCTTATCATACGGAACTGTTCGTGTTTTATTTCTGAAACACGTGTCGTTGTCGTCATCTCCATCCATTCTTGTCTTTTGTGATAACCTCCAAACTGTTTCCATTTCCCACTTTTCCTGGAAATGGCACGTACTCCTTTTCCCCCATAGCATCGTGTGAACTGAGCTGGTGGAGGGAAGAGCCTGGGCCAGATTTGCTACTGCTCCTGTGGCCCCCGTAAAATAAATGGGGGCAAGCAATATTTATTGCGCGGAGACAGGTCCTTGCTTAGGTTGAAAATACACCAGCAGGTTCCTCGCTCCTCTCCCCTCCCCGTTGGATTTTGGAGGCAAAGCCCCGTCGGGTGCTGTAGGGGGGTTGGGGCGAAGCCGTGCGGGCGGCCGGTGCTGCGTGGGCAGTTTGGACCTCGCTTGGGCAACAACCTTCCTCCTCGGCCACAAGGCCGCTTTACCTGCCAGTGCCTGCGTTCAGCCTAATTAATAATTAACGAGCAGCGTTCCCCTGGCTTTTGCGGGCGTCTGCAAGGACCGGCTCTTCGCACGTCCCTGTGAGCGCGGCGGCTGCCTCTCCGCAGGCCGGAGGACGGGATGCCAGGCTGTGTTTTTCTTTTCCTGTGGGGTGGCAGAGCCGCCCCCTCTCCTTCACCCAGACCCCTCTGACATCTCCTCCATCTGTTTTCCTTTGTGGCCAGGGAGAAGTAGCAGCTCTGTCCCCGCTCTGTGTGTGGAAGGGACGGGGACTCCAGCTCTCACCAGCACTCTCTTTTCCCAGTGGGTTGCCGGGGGCTCCCAAAACACCCCCGTCCCCTGTAATTATCTTTATAGCAGATACTCCTCACGTCCCATCTCTCCCCCAGTAAATTGCTTTACTACAATTACAAGTTATCACTATGGGTGAAGAACTTGGGTCATTATTTTGCCAAGTGCAGGAAATGTGAACCATTCTTTGCATCCCCTAATCACAATGAGTTTGCCGGTTGTTGAATCAAGAAGATAAAAATAATCCTCCCCGTTAGAATGGCTTTTGTAATCACGTGTGACACATAGGGCTGCACATGGAGAGGTCAGCGTAAGGAAGAATAAAAGGGGCCGTGCTCCCAAAGATGCTGCAGTCAGGGCTGGTGGTGCC